CCCCCCATATCCGTTGTTCCTAACCCTTGGCAAGTTAAAGAGGCGTGGACTTCACCTCCCAGAATTCCCCAGTCAACATGGGGAGCTGAAGTCCACACTTCTTCAAGTTGCCAAGGTTGAGAAACACCACACACATTCCTGCTTTGGAATCAGCTGCCTCTTATCTGACCATTGTCTGGTCTGCTGCTCTTCCTCCTGTCTCCCGAGGTCATCCCCACAGACCATTACAGTGTGGGAGAGGAGATGGGGAGAACATGTATTCTTAAGGAGCTCCTGGACATCTTGGGAGGAAGCCACTGTAACTGTAAAAATAACTGAATGTTTTCTTTCTCTCACCCTCAACCACTTCCAACTACCACCAGGACGTGGACACGATTTATCATTCAGAAGACAACCGGGAATTCAACCTGCTCGATTTCTCTCACTTGGAAAGTCGGTGAGAAGAAGCCATTGGACCCCCTCTGCCAGCCAGTGGTCTCAGCTATCTTCTCAACCCCATGTCCTCCTGAACTTCATGGTCTCCCTTTCAGCCCTTAAGTTTGGAGGCTGGTCCTTCCAACCATTGCAAAGTCTTGTGCCCACAACTGTGTGAAGTACTTTCAAGCACAACATGAGAGTAGAACAGAATTACAAGTAGTCCTTGACTTATGACCATTCATTTAACAATCATTTGAAGTTACGACAGTGCTGAAAAAAGTTACTTATGACCGGTCCTCACACTTATGACATGATCAAAATTTGGGAACTTGGCAACTGACATGTACAGTGGTACCTCGGGTTACGAACGCCTCTGTTAACGAACTTTTCGGGTTACGACCAGCTCCGGCCACAAAAATTTACCTCGGTTTGCGAACTCCGCCTCGGGGTACAAACAGGATACACGGCTATTTTCCCTCCCGTGACACGGTCTGTGGCCATTTTTCTGCCCCGACACGTGGTCCGTGGCCATTTTCCGCCCCTGACACGTGGTCTGCGGCCATTTTTCTGCCCCTGACACATGGTCCATGGCCATTTTTCCGCCCCTGACACGTGGTCCGCGGCCATTTTCCGCCCCTGACACGTGGTCTGCGGCCATTTTTCTGCCCCTGACACATGGTCCATGGCCATTTTTCCGCCCCTGACACGTAGACCGCGGCCATTTTCCGCCCCCGCCACGTGGT